GAGTTCGTAGGTGTTCAGAATGGTTTGATCCCTATGCAGCTGAATTCCTGAGACCAGACGAAATCCAGGTCTCCTACTCCTCCGCCATCTTGCTCGGCCAACAATAAAAAATTTTATAAAAAAGATTCCAAAAAAAAAAAAAAGAAAACTGAGGGTCAGGAGCATGAAATTTTAATAAGTTACAGAACAAAGTAGTTAAAGCTTATTGTGCACTTTCTGGAATTTATAGAAACAGAATCATTCAGAATGTCCTCCTAAATGTTGTACAATTCCTCTATGCATCAAACTGTATAGTTTATTTAAAAATTTTTTCAAAGTGTAGTTGACACACAACGTTCTTTAGTTTCCAGTGTGCAACATAGTGGTTCAACCACCAACTCTTTAGGTTATGCTGGGCTCACCACAAATGTGAAGCTATGTACTTTAAATAGGTGCAGTTTATTACATGTAATAATACTTCAGGGATATAGTTGAAGGAAAAAGTCTAGTGGACCATAGCTGAGGGTAAGATCTAGTGCACTGGTATACCTGATTCACAATGAACAGGGACGCAAGATATCACTCCTAACTAGGAAGAAAGCAAAGTGTCTATAGGGATATGGGAAAAAGGAAATTAAATTAAGGTAATTCACATTTGGTATGCCTGCTCTAAATCAGTCCCTGCTACTGATTTTATATTCAAAGTACTCTTTCCTAAAGAAAAAGAAGGCCCAAAGTGAGTAGAACAAAGGAAATCATAAAAAAGAAACATTTTGTATAGTAATAAAATTTTTGAAATTTTGCATCATCGTATTTATAATTATCCTGACACGAAGAATATACCTGGTCAATCTATTTGTTCAAGTTTTTCTTTCCATGTAGACTGCACTGGGAGGTATATGTTTGCTACTCAGTGTTTGCCAGGGGCTATGGTAGGCTTCCTGGACAGGGAGCTGAATCACAGAATAAAAGCAGGAGACCAGTTCAGAAACATAGGAGCATGTTTCCAGAGTAACTGCCTGACATTAAGCATTTTGACTGTAATGTAATGACCTGACATTAAGCTTTTGATCTCTGAGGCATGCATTTCTAAGGCAGTCAGGTTGAGTAAACACACTATTAGGTGAGGGACACAATTACCAGATAAGCGCTCAGGCTGCCCCAGCTATGAAGTACCTCTTCAAAAAGCCCTGGGTAACCTCCAAACTGACACAGGAGTGACCCTGGTTTTCCCATTGAGCACCCAAATTCTAATCATCTAAAAATCTCGAATAAAGTGTGAATCCACAAACCCCTAACCACTCTGGCCATGGGCCCTAATGAAGGCAGATCCCTCAGTGGAGCTCTGTCTCCATCTCAATGCCTCTCTCCCCCTCTGACAGCTCTCTGAATGGCCTTTCGGATCCCAGGTGCTCTCCAGGACCTGAGGATAAACCTGGTTTTGTTACAGTTCCCTGACAGGCATTGCTGAGGTCTGTCTTGCAATCACAGTAAGAACCCAAGGGCCAGTGTGGCCCCAGCAGAGGCTCTGGTCAGAGAAGCATCTGTGGGAATGTCCAGAAGCCCAGTGGTGCAGGGGAGTGCCCAGGCTTTCCTAGCCTGAGCATCCCTGTCACAACCTGACTTCAATAGAACAATGTTAGAGTCCACATTATCAGGAAGAGGAGTGAAGGAAGCGATGTAAAAAGACATACAGACTCTAGGTGAACCCTGGGGTTTTCTATTTTCATCTACAATAAAATTATGTGAAGGGCTTAGTGGCCAAGTGTAGTCACTTCCAAATGAAGAACACAACTCAACACTATCCTTCTGGAAAAGCTAGGGAAAATTTACTTGGCATGGTAGAAGTCTATGAAATAAATTTAGTTTTAAGAAATCCAACTTGCCCCATGTAAGATACAGAAATTTCCAGGCATTTGCGACCAAGGTTGGGGAAAATTTGGGGATTGTATGCAAATGGACAAAGGGGAACCTGTCTGTATATGAGACAGAGCCGAAGCTTAGTAAAGTGAGTTCCTTAAATGTATGGAGAAGTGGAATTATTCAAACAAATGAAAATTCCAGGAAACATGTGGAAGGAGCAGGTTCTAGTTCCACAGCCAGATCTAAGAATGGCAGTTCCTGGCTCTCAGACTCTGAGCCCTGCAATCATGGGCACTTCTTCAGCCCCAGGACGATGGCCCCTTACATCACTGGAACCCCAGTGATTTTTTTCAGAGCCCTCTTTATGTCTCTGTTCCTCAGGCTGTAGATGAAGGGGTTCAGCATGGGCGTCACCACCGTGTACATCACCGAGGCCACTGCACTTGAGTGGGAGCTCTGGGGAGCAGCAGAGCTAAGGTACACTCCTAGGATTGTACAATAAAATAAGGAGACAACGGAGAGGTGAGAGGCACAGGTGGAAAATGCTTTATACTTGCCCTGAGCTGAGGATATCCTACGTATGGAGGAAACAATCTTAGAGTAGGAATAAAGAATCCCAGCGAGGGGAGCACCACCAAGCAGCACAATTCCGAAATACATCACCATATCATTAAGGAAGGTGTCAGAACAGGCCTGGCCAACTACTTGATTGAATTCACAGAAAAAATGGGGGATTTCCACCTTCGTACGGAAGGACAGCCGCAACACCATTAAACTCTGTAACAAGGAATTGAGAACACTGATGACCCAGGACACCAGAACCAGCAGTCCACAGAGCCGAGGGTTCATGATGACCGTGTAGTGCAGGGGGTGACAGATGGCCACGAAGCGGTCATAGGCCATCACAGCCAGGAGAAAGTCGTCCCAGTCTCCAAAGATTATGAAAAAGTACATCTGTGTGAGGCAGCCGGCATAAGTGATGACTTGGCTCTGAGTCTGGATGTTCCACAGCATCTTGGGGATGGTGGTGGAGGTGAAGCAGATGTCTACAAAGGACAGGTTGGCGAGGAAGAAGTACATGGGGGTGTGGAGATGGGAGTCTGAGCTGACGGCCAGGATGATGAGCAGGTTCCCAAGCACAGTGATTAGGTACATGCAGAGGAAAAGCCCAAATATGATGGGCTGTAATTCTAGTTCCTCTGATAATCCCAGAAGAGGAAACTCTGAAATTCCTGTGTCATTGTCTGCTTCCATGTGGTGGTGGTGACTACAAGGAAAG